GTCTGCCTTTCAAGCTCTAAATCCAGATCTCCCAGCCCTGGCTTATGTTTATACAATTCTAGGTCACTTTGCCCTCCCTCTGCCAGAGCCCAAGGTGAGTGTTGTGCATTAACCCTTTAAGAGGGTGCTTGCACTTCCAGCTAACTCTCCCTGGCAAACAGCAACCCTGCTGATTTTCACAGCCAGATTTTATGTAGACACCTTTTTCGGTTCTGGTGCTCTCTGCTGGAGGTGGGGGGCAGCTTGGGGATTAGACCTCAGAGTTCCAAGTGGCAACCCCCACAGCTGAGATATCTCTCCAGAATTTCAGTTACTGTCTGTGGAAGCCTGGCCAGCCCTTTCACGCCTCCACCCTTCCTACCAGTCTCTATGTGGTCTCCACTTTCTATCCTTGGTTATCAGGGTTGTCTCCAGCTATTCTTCAGTTGATTATTCAGGGTGGGCTTTTTGTTTTGTTTGTTTGTTTGTTTGTTTTAGATGTGATCACAAATTGGCCCTGAGAGCATGTCTGTGAGCTTGCACTTAATCTGCTTCCACTTTTAATTGATATTATTTATTTTTCAATAATAAATGATATTTAGAAAATAGTCTCATCTTTACCCGTGCTTCCATTCATTTCATTCTTTTTTTTAAATAATCATTTATTTAAAAATATATATATTTTATTGATTTTTTACAGAGAAGAAGAGAGAGGGGTAGAGAGTTAGAAATATCAATGAGAGAGAATCATCGATCAGTTGCCTCTTGCACACCCCCTACTGGGGATGTGCCCGCAACCAAGGTACATGCCCTTGACTGGAATCGAACCAGGGACCTTTCAGTCGGCAGGCCGATGCTCTATCCACTGAGCCAAACCGGTTTCGGCATTCATTTTATTCTTATTCTCCCATAAAAGTTACCATTTGTATTAGTTGCATGTGTATCTTTCTAGAATTACTTCTTATAATTATTAATATGCTTATTTCTCCCCTTTATTATACACACTATCCACAGTAATTTAACCTTGCTTTTCTCAATTACAATATGAGAAAAATTAACACTAAAATAACATATTAAAACACTTTTGAGAATGAAATGATTTTAAAGTATTACCAAAATCTACACTGAGAAATAGCATTATTCTAATAGTAAATTAAACAAAATGATATTAAATTACATGCTTCTAAGTACAAAAAGTTAAAAGTTAACTTATTTTTAACCCTAAATCAACATTTGGCTCCCAATCACTCAGTTCTTAACCATTTGGAAATTATTAAGTGTTTTGTAATATAACAGCTTTCCTCTTTCTTCATTTACATTTCTTAAGTAACAAAAATGTGTAAATAACATTTTGCCTTAGAGACTTACTCTTTGGGCTGAGAAGTTAGCATTACTGCTGTAAGGAAGTCTCTGATTAATGTATCTCCATTGGGAGAAACTACTGAATATAGAGGAACCAGGGAACAGAAATATAAGTTATTGCAGAATCTAATTTTAGAAATTCAAACTATCTAAATGGTACAAAAATAACAAAAAATTGGATGCTTTTGATATATAACAAAATCAGATCACAAGATAGTTTAAAAAAGAGTACTACAATGTTGAAAACTGGTAACTTTGTTCACCCCAAAACATTGGAAATTTGACCTAGCCTTCTCCTGCCTGGAGCCATGGGTTCCCTACTCACTCCATATCCAAAGTGAGATGCAGCCACACACTGATAGAGAGGATGTGGGCAAAGTGATGTAGCCAGGCCCCAACTGGGGCTGCTGCTTCTGGTGTTGCTCCTACCCGCACAGATTTATTCAAATAAAAAAATTGCTTTATCACCTTCCAGTAATCCTTCCAACAAAACCTTGACTACTCCAAATCCATTGAGTACCACCGCTAAGGCAAGTGGTAGTGTTTTGCAGTCAATAGCCAGCCTCTTAGCAATCTAGTTCTATCTCTACACCTCTACTGTTAAAAGACTCAGGCCAAGAAATGTATACTTCTCCATCTTCCAAACCCAATCCAAATAGCATCTAGACATACAGTGGGACAGGGGAAAAAACAGGTCTTCATTGAATCTGCTAATTTCACACCTAATTTTATTTATTACATAGAAAATGTTGAGGATCCCATATTTGGTTTAAAGAACATGTGTAGGGTCTGACTAGATGATGAATGTTGATATTAAATCTGTAAAAGTTTCATGGACAAGATGAAAAAACACATCCAAAATTAGTTCAGAGATGATTTCCTTAAATGTGGCTTAAGTACCGACACATCAAGTTCTATTTTGAAAATGTATAGATTTTATTTTATCTAGACATAAGGAATTAGATTTGTAACACAGTCAGTTTTCAATTGGTTCATTTAAAGCTATAAGGCCATAAAATGGGTAATGCAAAAAGCTTCCATGGTTCTATTTATATGTTCATTAGAAGGAACTTCCAGGTGTTCCTGTAAATCCTCAATGTATTGTTTCACAGTACTAATTTAATGTCCATGTAACCCTAGATAAAGTTTTATATTGTTAACTTATCACTTAATATTCTCTTGGGAACTGAAGTCTTTGATTTGACATTGCATTTGACTTTTTATGTAGTAATTGATATGTACCAATATTTATAGTTTTTCCCCCTCCTTTCCTACCTTATTCCAGAATCCATCAATGATGTATTGGAATCTACTCCAAACCCAACTATAATGAGTAAATTTTGCTTACATACTTATCACTCCCCTATTCAACAAGAATATCAGATTCATTTTGCTAAACTAATTCCAAAGAGTTAAAGTACATGAACCTCAACCAATTTCAAAATTCTTTTTATTTCTGCATGTATTTAATACCTTTTACAATTTAAGAGATGATTTGTTTTGAAGATTAGAAAGGCAAATATGTGAAGGAACCAAACTATAAATAAGATATATTTGGGAGGTGAAGATTGGAAGTTTTTTTTCACTCAATTGCCAACCCTCTTCCCCTCTGACAGCTGTTAGTCTGTTCTCTGTAGCTATGAATATGTTTCTATTTTGTTTGTTAGTTTGTTTTGTTCACCAGATTTCATATATAAATGAAATCATAGGGGATGGGTGAAAAAAGTGAAGGGATTAAGGAAAGGAAAAAACCGCTCATATACACAGATAACAGTATGGTGATTACCAGAGGGGAAGGGGGGGAAGGGAAGGTAGAAGAGGGTAAAAGGGGGATAAATGGTAATATAATAGAAGACTTGGGTTGGTGACCACACACTATAATATACAGATGATGTATTATAGAATGATACCCCTGAAACCTATATAATTTTATTAACCAATGTCACCCCAATAAAGTCCATTAAAAAAAAAAAGACTGGAAGCTTAGTTAAATTAAATTAAAAAAACCCACACATTTATATTCTTTCTGTACATACTTTAAAACAAAACAAAACAAAACAAAAAAACCATATGAATCAGAATAGCCACATTTGGAACATTTCTTTTATTGGTCAATATTTTTATATAGTTAGAACATGATCTTAAGCCTAATGTAAGCTTGATTCTGGAAAGTAAATATTTTCACAATTAACTCAATGCACAGAAACTCTTTTGAAAATAGACATTCTCTAAAGTCTTATTTTGCATGGTCACACACTGATACTTAGATGTTCCAGTATCTAATATTGCCACACTAGTGTTGATAACCATAGTAATTTTTTTCCATCTTTGGAAACCTACTTAGGAACACCATACACAAAGATCTCAAGCTGCCATGTGTGAATAAACATCCCCCTTTGTTTTATACCTAAATGCTGTACATCTAATTTCGATTATATATTGTTTGTGTATTTATGCTTTGATTCATAGTAACTTCTCATGTTATAGAATTGATTTGCATTGAAAAAAAAAACCACTTGTAAATAAAAAGAAGTGCCTGAAAGTGTGGTAGGCAATTAGATAGACATGTGCAGAGCAAGGACGATGGGCTAGGTACAAGTCATCAGGGTAGAAAGCCCCAGATGCCTAGCAAACGACAACTGTGGTGTGGAACCTCGCCCCCAGGATGATTTTTCCTTCCCTAGCATATCACTGGTCAAGTGGTTTGGACTCCCTGACCTTTCCTCCCTAGAGATAACATTTAGACCCCAGTTGTATTTCAGCTCCAGGCCCAGAAAAGCAACAAAACCAGACCAGTGGCCCCATGGCTGACCTCAGGACAAGCTGCATTAGATAATGACCCCCTGCCCTGGCATCGACCAATCAATTAGTGGAGACTTAGTCCCTGAAAGGACACACCTGGAAAGATGCTGAATATTCTATTAAGATCTTCCCTTAGGACCTCCCTCCAAATCTTCACCCTTAAAATCCTTAGGATGGAGGACCCAGCATGCTCTTCTTTCTTCCTTCTCTCCCTCCCAAAAGTACACCAGCACTTTTCCCTTTACCTTCTCCCTCCCTTTTCCTCAGCTTCCCCACCACACATGTTGTCATTTCCTTCCTTATTCCCAAGATCCAAGGGCCCTTGTTTTACCTCTATAACTTGTTCCTTACTCCCAGTAATTCTAGGAATTACTTTTTCTACCTCCATGATTTACTAAATAAATGTTCACTGACAGTTTGAATCTTGGCTCTGAATTCTTTCCTAGCCAGAACTCAAGTACCAAGGTTGTTGAACCCAGGTCAGTTCTGACCCCACCAGACTAACACCCAGTATCATCCCTGCCACCCACAACAAAAACAAACAAACAAACAAAACAAAACAAAAAACACATGAGAAATTACTGACCTAAATGAAAACAGTTATAGCTACCAGGGCTGAGAAAAACAGCAAAACTGAAAAAAAAATGAACAAATAAGTAAATGATGGCTGGCATTAACGGACAATGAACAAAATAACTGGTCCTAGCCATAGCCTTTGATCACTAATGACAGAGCCTACAAGTACCCTGGCCTTTTAATAGATTTCATTACAATTGAGTCAAACTTTTTCATAACACTAAATACATCATAAAACAATGTTTTTAGAATTGAAATGTTAAAAGCAAGCTCTCACTTACCTTCCCTGTTAGAACTGAGGGGAATTCAGTATCAAACTTGTTGCTCAAGCCAAACCTTAAAAACAAAGACAGAACAAAATATATTCTACCCAGCATATTTAACTCTCTCGCATTAAAAAAAAAGCCATGCATTTTTCTTTTGATGTTGTGATTTTAAAACATGTCTTAAAAATAATTTTATATTTATAGAAAATAAATATTTGACTATTAATAAAAAACTAACTAGATCCATGATATGGAATTAAAAATAATGATTTAGAGAAACACTGAGAAAGAGGTGAAAATATAATTTTTTACTCGAATGGTTCTGTTAAAACTCATTTTAGCCCAGCTGGCGTGGCTCAGTGGTTGAGCATCCACCTATGAACTGGGAGGTCACAGTTTGATTCCCAGACAGGGCACATGCCTCGGTTGCATGCCCGATCCCCAGTAGGGGGGTTGCAGGAGGCAGCAGATTGCTGATTCTCTCATATCATTGATGCTTCTGTCTTTCCCTCTCCCATCATCTCTGAAATCAATAAAAATATATTTAAAAAAATACACACACAAAAAAACATTTTAGTTGATAGCTATTGGGATTGGCTGACGGATGTATGGGAGAGTGGCTTTTACTATCCTTTTTACTTTTGTGTATTATATATATGAAAATTTTCCTAATAAACACTAAGAAAACCTTTGGAACCATAGACTTTGACAACTTATAATCAGTTACTATTCAGAAACTCAAAGGTTGATCCTTATGAATGGCTTTTATGTATATGTTTAACCCTTTTAAGAAAACAGATCCCAGCCCTGAAAGCTCTTGACTCTCTTCAAGTAGCTCACTGAAATCTGTATTAGGAAGTCAAAATGAATTTTATAAACCTTGGTTTACCTACTTGTTGATTTCAGAAGTCATAACAAAGATCACTTCCTGCATGTAAGTGATATATCATAGTGGCCACATTTTTTTGTTAGTGATTGATGGGTTGTAAGCAAAAAGGAAACAATACTAACATTTATAGAGAACCTTTTATGAAGTAGGCAATAATAGAAAGTTATCGATAACTATGGACTTACCATGAGCTAGATACTGTGCTAGGTAAATAAACACTATTTCAGACTTTACAACTCTTCAAGACTTTACGGATAAGAAAGTTGACATTCAGAAATCTTTTTTTCCAAAAAGTAATTAATTAAATGACTTGCCCAAAGTTATATAAATACTAAGGGGTGAGCCAAAATTCAAATGCCAATCTTTATATTTTTTGGCTCCTGGAAAAGAGAAACGACTGTTTGTTTATATTGCTATCTTTCATTATGTTTAGTAGCATAATGTTATTTCATAGATGTTTAATAAAAGTTTTTTAAAAATAATAACCTACTATACTTTTTTATTTAACTGATTTATGGCACCTTGGTCTTAGGGTCACTTTAAAGATGTTAAGAATCCAATGTCCTATTAAAACTCTATGTGAGAATATTATATTCTCCTCATGTTATTATGGTAATAGCTTATTTTCAAGACCACAAGCCAGTCTTAAACACAAGGACTCTACTTAACATATAGTAGCAAGGCACATTTCTGTGCATAAATATGTTATACCTGTATGTTTAAAATGTATTTTATAACAACAAATTCTGTATTTTAAAGCAGTTGAGAAAATTAATTAGCAAGTGAAAACAGAATTTAAATTTTTTAAAAAAATACTTCATTACTTTTCCAGGTGTCAGTACAACATATAATGAGAACATAATATTCTCAAAATCTATACATAGATATTGGACCATAGCCAAACTTGAAAACAAGATAGTACTCTCTGTACATGAGTTTTTATGGCAACTTTCAGATGATGTTTGAGAAACTGACATTATAATATTAAATATATATTTGCAATTATCTACTAACTCAGAAATCATTATACTAAGTGAAAAAGCTAAGCAGAGAAATATAACTATCACATGATCTCACTCATGTATGGAATATAATGAACAACATAAACTGATGAACAAAAATAGATCCAGAGACAGAGAACCATCAACCAGAACGTCAAACCTCAGGGAAGGTAAGGGATGGTGGGGGTAAGGGGGAGAGAGCAACCAAAGAACTTATACACATGTATAGAAGCCTAATCAATGGACACAGACAACAGAGGGGTGGGGGCATGAATGGGAGATGGGGGTAATGAGAGAATAAGGACACATATGTAATACCTTAATCAATCAATAAATAAAATAAATAAAAATAAATAAATATTGACTTTATCACTAGTAAAAATATAATTTAACTTTTTATTCCACAAAGAGTAAATTCATATTGTGGAATATATATAGGTTTCATTTTAAAAAGTAGACATAATATATTTTAAAGTAGATCTCTCAATTTCGATATCTTGTCTAAATGCCTTTTATTGTTTAAAAAATCTTTATTATTGACCTAAATGCCTTTTAGCGGCAATGTCAATAACATGTTCCTACCTCAATTAGATGGCTGCCATTTTAATTTTTTTCTAGCTGCCATTCTTTTACTAGATAAGTATGTAGAGGATATAGAAATATGTAACCCCCAAAATGTGTGGATCATTTCTATTATTTAAAAAATTCTTAGTTTTGTTATTCTCTCTTTTCATTTATCACAAGACAAATGAACTTTCCTTTTCAGTTTCCAAATTCATCTTGTCTTCTTTATTGCCAAATTCAGTGTCCTTTTCTCAGAATTTTCTCCTTTGACTTTGCAACTTGTGACATTGTTAAACACACCCTTCCTAACACTCTTCCATTCTTTCACTTTCTTCTACCACTCCTGCTTTTCAGCAAAATTTAGCTTTTAATCATCTGCTCTTCTTTCTAAGAAAAGTATACTAATTTATCTGTATTTAATAGCTTTGACAATTATTTCTATGCTGATAACCATCAAATCTTTATTGCTAGTTTTATATTTTCCAACATGCTCCAATCCCTCATCTCTAATTGAACTCTGAAAGTTTCCATTTGGATATCTTTCTGCAAAATAATAATACCACAAGTCTAAAATTAAATGTTATCTTTTATTGGAAACTAGCTGCCCTTTTCAAATTCCTCATCTCTATCAATGGCACATTGACTCTCTTTAACCTAGACTTTGGTATAGGTTTTACACGTTCCTTCAAATTTGTTTATTTGCATGTTACTTTTATTCAGGTGGCTTTAAGTCCTTTATTGTTCCTTTGAAATCATTCTCATAATGATTCCTCCATTTCCAGTGCCACTGCTATGTTGGCTCTTGTCTTTGCTCATGTGGTTCTTCTTGCTTCTTCTCCCTAGTTTAAATCCTATTCAGATTTCAAAGCTCAAGTCAAGTGTCAATGCCTTGAATGCTCAAGTTTTTATGGATTTCCCCTTTTTCTGAACATTCAAAGTCACTTATGTGTACTATACAATTCAATAGTTAATTAATTTCTTTTTATTTCTTATAAATATCTTAAAGGCATTTTTATATTAGCTTTTTTGTTGTTAATCCTCACCAGAGGGTATTTTTCTATTGATTTTTAGAGAGAGTGGATAGAAAGAAGGGAGAGAAACATCAATGTGAGAGAGACATCTCAACTGGTTGCCTCCTGCACAGGCCCCAACTGGGGCCAGGGATTGAGCATGCAACTGAGGTATGTGCCCTTGATGGGAATTGAACTTGGTACTCTTTAGTCCGTGGACCGATGCTCTATCCACTGGCAAAACCGGCTAGGGGTCCTGTTAGCTTTTTAAAGCAAGGCCTGTACTTTGTTTTTCTATATTCTTCACAGTGCTTGGCTCAGTGCTCAAATTCTCAAGAAATACTTGCTATATTCAAATTGCTATGTTTCTATTCTAATATAGAAAGGAATTCATTTTTCTAAAATATAAAAAGTATATCAGAAATAGTAAGGAAAGCAGCATTTTGCTTCATAAGACACAGTTTTATGGCCTACATATATCTACTTCAAAATGGTATAAATATAGGCAAACTAGGCCCAATATACATTCATAATTTTAGCTAAATATAGTAGCAGTTCTGTTCTTGCCTACTAGAGATTTCTTCCTTAACTTTCTCTATTAGAGACTAAGCACTAAAAAAGACTACTTAACTGAAATAACCTTAAGCACAACATTTCATTTAGCAGCTATTAAAAAATGTTGAAATGGCCGAAACCAGTTTGGCTCAGTGGTAGAGAGTCGGTCTGCGGACTGAAAGGTCCCAGGTTCGATTCCGGTTAGGGGCATGTACGTTGGTTGTGGGCACATCCCCAGTACAGGGTGTGCAAGAGGCAGCTGGTCGATGTTTCTCTCTCATCAACGTTTCTAGCTCTCTATCTCTCTCCCTTCCTCTCTGTAAAGAAATCAATAAAATATATTTTAAAAAATGTTGAAATGGCTGCTGCTGAATACAAATCTCAGCTGTTTCATAAACAAACGATTAAAAACTGTGAGTCCATAGAAGTTAGGGAATTTCATCTATCCATTAATGATCAGTGATAGGGTTCTTTAGCATTAGACAAATAGGTACTTAGGAACTGCTCATGCTGTCATTAACTATAGAGCCTACTATGTGTCTGAGGAGGATGGACCCAGTTGGTGGTTCCTAATGACTGCATTTTGTTTGTCAAATGTCTTCAATGCTTCAAATTTTTAAAATATATATTTTTATTAATTTCGGAGAGGAAGAGAGAGGGAGAAAGAGATAGAAATATCAATGACGAGAGAGAATCATTGATCAGCTGCCTCCTGCACACCCACACTGAAGATCGAGTCCACAACCTGGGCTTGTTCACTGATCAAGAATTGAACCATGACCTCATGGTTCATAGGTCAGTCAATGTTCAACCACCAAGCCATGGTGGCTGGGCTCAAATTTTAATTTCTTGGACCATTCTTTAGAGTAAGGCAAAGAAGAATGGGTCCTCTTAGATGCTCTTCCCTCTTCTCTCCTTCCCCATATCCCTAGCTATTTATAATCTTTTTGAAAATGGCTACACCTCAGCCTTTGAAACCTTTCACAAATTGAAGTTCATATGCTCAGGTTGTTTAAAAAAAACAAATCAAAGTGTGGTAAAATTCTGCTAA